TTGTGATAATATTGATTTTTTCTCCAGTTCATAGGTTATCAATTTACAAAACACAAAAATAGAGATAGTACAGGAAGGATAAAAATTTGTTTGCATTTACAAATATTACAGAGGCTAAAGTTCCCACAGTTCAAAAAAAGAGCAATATCAACCTTCAACAAATCAAAATAAAGTGATAGTTTTTAAGGTCTGCACGCTTTTCGTTATCAAGTGCTGAATTAGAATGAAATTTTATCTAAAAATGAATATTTTCCATTCTAGATTGGGAAACAGGGAGAAGTCTGCTTAAATTTGGATAAATGAAATCAACACTAACATAAATAATTCATTAAGCCTATGGTGGTTTAAATTTGTTAGTCCCACTGAAACATCTTTTGTTCGCGGAAAATAAGCTGTTTTTGTATATTTATAAACCGGAAGTGCAGTAAAAAAGACTCATCGTCATTGGCCAGGATGTTTTTCAAAGCTCCTATTTGAGTGTCTGTCTGGTCACCATAAAACTGATAAGAAATGATAACAAAGAACATGCTGTTTCTGTCATTTTTGTGTAAGCAACAAACACGTTTTGCTGATGTCTGCAACATGATGTGAAATTTTTTATTCGGTAAAACAGACATGTGTTCATTTATAATTCATGTTAACATTAAAATTACTCTTACGAAATAATATTTAGCTGTTAAATCCATCATTAAGCAGACAAGTAAACATTTTCGTCGTTATGTTGAGATAAAATAGATCTTAATAATTAGACTTCTGACAGTCCAAATTAAACCGTTTATGATGGTTTGAAACATGGGTTTCGTCACCTAATGGTGAAAATATTTAAAATTGATCATGAACAGTGCTAAGTTTTTTATAGCTTGGCAATTTTTAATGTTCTATTTGAAAAACAGAAGTATTGAGAAATATAAAATAAAATAATACAAAATTGTGAATGTAAAAAAGATGCTTTTGTGACTTTTTTGAATCATAATTCTTCTCTGAAAAACAAAAAAAAATTGTAGCTTTCAAACTAACTACACATAATGGTTTTGTCTGAAACATTTTGTGTCAATTTAATAAAGAGCACTTTTTAACATTTTTTGAGTAAAATTTTTATCAAACTCAAGTTCTGAGACAGCTTCGCTTGTGTACCCTTTATTATTTTTTATTGAATTCAAAAATACACAGAATGAATGATTCAAAATCAGTACTGACACTACTTTTTTCAAGACATTAAATTTTTTATCAGGTAAACTAAAATCTCCAAATGTAAGCTAAGATCGATTGGTATTTTTGTTACTATTGAACAAGAAGATATTTCACAGTGAGCAATTCAAACATTTTCACAAAAGAAACAGAAAAATTAAAGCAAATACATGCAGAAATCCGAGAATATTGGCCACAAACAAAACTTTTTATTTTTGGAAAGCTTGCTTAATAAAAATTAGGTAAGTCATACCGCAATTATTATTCTTAATTTTAGGTTGTGTATGCTAAAAATTCGGAAATTAAGTTCACAATTTATTTATAAAAAATAAATAAAATATTTGTTAAAAAAGAGGATTTTTCTTGATTTGTCATTTAATTAATTGTGTTGGAGTAAAATTAATCTTTAATTATTGACGTTTGAAGCAAAACAATTTTCGATCACACTTAATTTTACAAGAGTTTTGGAGCAGCCTGTATAATAAATAGTGTTTATTTTGCACCACGTTTTAATTAATTTTTCACTATTTCAGTGAGATTTGAATGAAATATAAATACTGTTCCTGTTCTAAAAATAAGTATGTATTTGGGTAAGGCTATGAAAATAAGAAAGTTTCCAGTGAAAATTAAAAGTTTATAATTAAAATGAGATTGCGTGCGCGAATAGAAATACTCTCATTATTCAAAGAAGAGGCTCTCTGGGAATATGAATAAGTCAGCTTAATTTAAATATTTCCCTCCCCTCGACATATTAATACAAATTTCCTGAAAAATCCAACGTAAACAATTATTTTCATGAGCGAAGCCAGAACTCTAACGGAAACGACAGTCTCGTGTATCCTTTCGTTGGCTCTACTTCAAAAATTCTGTGACGATTTCGTCGTCATTTGATTCTTGACTGCTGAAAAAAGTAGTTGAAAAATTCTTAAACGATTTTTTGACTGCTGAAAAAAGCATCAAAACTGGAGCTAATTAAAGTGCTAGTGAATAAACGTTGCAACAAATCAAAATTGTCGACATCGACGAAATCAAAGTGAGTTTTATGAATGAATTGGTGCGTTTCTGTGTCCATTACAATCACGCTAAAGCAATTTTATTGCCCATGCGATTCAATGAACTTCGCGTGACACCAACAATTTCATTAATTGAGATGTTGGAGGCTTTGTTTATATTTTTAATGAGGTGCTTATCGGTTTCACCATCTGTGATAAAAATAAATCCTAGTCTGGTTTCGATCGGATGAAATTGGAGAAAGACGCTTTTTTGCGGTGGATGAGTGGCTTTGTTAAAGAAAACAAAGCAATAATTCAAATCAAGACAGTGACCTTTACTCAAATAACGGTCTCTCAAGCACGAAATTAGTGACACTGTGATAAAATTTGTTTCGTTTTATTGTAAGCAAGGCTTTGTTTTCGTTAATAAAGTTATTAAAATTAGAACCGGCCTACATTTCCACTATTTTGTTTTGAATATTTTATCAGTGGATTTTAATTCTTTTAGATAATTTATATTATATAAATGTGAAATGTTACTTTCCATTGTAAATAAATATTAAATTTAATTACTTTTTTAATAATATTGGAAAATTATTTGTTTTTTTATGCTGTTTACCAATTATACAGGCTGCACCAGAACTCGCGCCCCAGAGAAGATACCAGGAACATGGAAAAATGTTTAAAAAAATCTATTCGATGTTGTGAGAGTTTAAATTTTGTACTTTGACTCTATTTTTTTCCTATTGGAAAAATAATTTAAAGTTTTTTTGCTAGTTTATTAGAAGAGGAAACAAGGAAGCTGTATCCTAATTTACCTTTACTAAATAATTATAAAAAACATACAAAAAAGGCGATAATTACACTTTACACATTTCACTTTACTACTTTTAAATAATTCAAGTTTGTTTTCGAATTTTCATCGTTGGTTGCTTTTTATTTCATGACAAATTTACATGACAATTATGTTAAATTAATAATCTACAAGTAAATTGGAACATTTCTAATTTTTTATT